ATTCTACAAGACAAAAGATGAAATAATTTATTTTCTTTTTGAATTAAGAAATATGTAATTTTGCTGCTGGTCCAACACGGATATATAGCGATACTGATAAATATCACGAAGCATAGCAAAATTCTTCCAAATCTTTACGATCGTAGATATAGGTCCTAGCAATTATAGATATAAAAGGCATAAGACCTTCAGTTATTAACGTAGCAATCAGAAGAGCCAAAGTCAACAAGACAAGCTGTCTCTGCTAAACTTACTTCCCTGTATCTTTCACTTACCTACTCAAAGATTAGACAGAGGGTGCGATGTAGTAAGCACAAACTTTATTTGTTTCGTGTAATATTTGAAAGTTTAAAGAAAAGAATAATATGTGCTTTTTAATTTAAATTTCTCAAAAATTACAAGACACCCAAATATTGTACTTATTTATAATTCAAACACTTTTATTTGCTAGTGACCGGTATTTTTATTTACAGAACGTTTTGAAATATGCGTTACTTGTCACAAGCATAAAATTAAAAGCTACACAACAATGTATATACGGATGTGCCTAAAGGTTTTCTTTATAACTTTATTTTTTTCCAAAAAGGTAAACGTGCACTCGTTGTTTACCACAATGTTATCGACAAGTATTTGGAGTTCACATTGACAGCATAGACAGGTGGATTCAAAACTAAGATAAAGAAGCACCCAGCCTTATACAGAAGTTATATGAAAATTATAGATAATTCCCAGCTGCTTTTTTTTTTCTCAGACCGCTATGAGTCGATGATATTATTTTCCATATCCCACAATCAGACAGATATACTAATCTATGCAACAAGATAATCATAGCCTTATGATTAAAAGTAAAGGCTTGGTTTCAAACAACAACAAAATTTTTAAACGTTCCATATCTGAAACTAAGAAAAAAGATTAACCAAGCATTGCTTTATCAGTAAATGCACAGAACGTATCTGACAACATCAATCCAAGTAATCCAAGTTTAAAATAGTGGTGAATGAAGCTGAGCAGATTCATTAAATTTCTACATTGATCTGTCGGTTAAATTTTGAAAACTGAGATGCATGAGAAGTTCGTTCATAGAAAGGAAAGTATTCGCAAGCCTTTATATTTTAAAATGTTGTAGTCGTATTGAAACTGCCAGCTATCTCTAAGGTATTCACAACATGTTACATTACAAATATTTTACATTGATATATATATATATAGAGAGCTTGAATTATACCTTCATTATCTTGTATCTCATAACACACTTTAGAAAATAACATTTCGCTCTAGAAACATAAAGAGAAACATTGATTAAGTAAATACAAATAGATGTCAACATTACTTTACTCTGCAAATTTAATAAGTATTCCCAGTGTCTCAGGTTTAAGTAATTATAAGCAATGAAATAATACTGCCGAAACTACTATGATTATCATGTTTTGTTTTTGAATTTCTCGCAAAGCTACACGAGGGCTATCTGCGCTAGCGTCTCTAATTTAGCAGTGTAAGACTAGAGGAAAGGCAGCTAGTCATCATCACCCACCGCCTTCTCTTGGGCTACTCTTTTTCCAACGAATAGTGGGATTGACCGTCACATTATAACGCCCCCACGGCTGAAAGGGCGAGCATGTTTGGTGTGACAGGGATTCGAACTTGCGACCCTCAGATTGCGAGTCGAGTGCCTTAACCACCTGGCCATGCCGGGCCTCTCGATTATCATGTAGTGATATATGTTTAATAAAAATAGACATCCTAAATTATAGCTAAATAATAAAAAGAACTGACAAGAAATTCTTTCACAAAAATTAATGTTCTAGTTTTCAATCTTAGTCTTATTTCCTACATATCTTCCTGTATCAATCACTAACGTTCAGGCGATGTACAATAGTGAAATATCTGCATTATATTTATGTATATGGGCATTAAATAAATATTAAATCATTCACTCATCGTTCATTAGTTTTCTATGTTTTCGTAATCAACGTTTTTTTTATCAAACTTTATATCATATCTTAGATAGCATACATAAGTATTTCAGTGAATTTTTACTTAATTACTTGTCGTATCTTTGTTTTGGAAATCCATAGTTCGTCTAGAGTTTTAATATAAGAATAAAACAAGTTGAGTATTTCGGTTTGAGAATAATGCAACAAACAAAACAACGTGAAATGCACTTTAGTTATGATGTCTGTATTAAATCCCGCACTTAATCATATATATATATATATATATATATATATGCGTTCATGATGTTAGAAAAATACATAGGCCGATAAATATAGCCGCCCCCCAGTGGCACAGCGGTATGTCTGCGGACTTACAACGCTAGAATCCGGGTTTCGATACCCGTGGTGGGCAGAGCACAGATAGTCCATTGTGTAGCTTTGTGCTTAATTACAAAGAACAAATATAGCCGATAGATTTTGCTAAGTAAAAAATGAAGTTTTGAAGACAGCTTTTAGCCTAATGGAACTCACTGGTTTCAATTTAATTCAAGTTGACAGTAACATAATACTTTTGAAATGATGGCAGAAATGTATCGCAGTAACAAAAGGTAATTTCCCTCGCTCAAGCTTCTAATACTTGAAATGTTGGTGACATAGAAAATGACGGTTCTATGTTATTCCATATTAAGTTTTTAGATTCTAACGCAAATATTTAGCCTCTTCATAATTCGAGGCCATTTAAAAATAACTATTCCTTATACAGAAAGGCTTAATATGTTTACTTTAAAGCATTAACTGTCTTTTGCACTTACACAGTGGTTCATGCGAATATCTAAAGTACCAAATTTGGTTTACGAATACAATTATCAAATAAAAAATACGCATCGTATCAAATTAATATATTTCCTTGATAGCGCTGTACGGTAATGTAAGTGATTAGATGTGTGGAAATATGAATTCGGTTAAAAGTGATAATAAAAAACGTAAATTTTTGACAAGGGCCAAAATAATTATAAAAAAATATTAATGACCCAGTATGAGATGAAAAGAAGTAATAACTTACAAAAAATTACAAATTAGAAAAATATGCTTTCGTAAAAAAGGAAAAATAAGAGGGAATTTGTGTAAAGACAAATAAATTACTATATTTTTCAGGATTTTAAGAATTTGTTCTCTCTCTCTCTCTCTCTCTTGTATTTATCAAATTTATGTTATTATAGTTCTCGGCCACTTTCCCCTTTGAATTTTGAATCGATGTGCACGAGCAGTTCCTAATGACACAAAATACATGCACCTTCTCCACTAATATTTTCACCTTTTCTTCTTATTTTCCTTATGTTTTTCTTTCAATCTTTCACTATACTTAAATTTACCAGTGTTTGTTTTTTTAATCCTAATAACGTTTCTCTTAACTCTAAATTGATGCTAGAAAATGAAGTTAAGTGTGTAAAATAAGAACAGGAAATATAAATATTTTGCGTAAGGAGAGGAAAGTGGAATATATTCTAAGAATAGAATCGGAAACTAAGAGCAATAGGATTCAGAAACAAGATAAGCATAATACGGTAGAGAGTAAACAAGAGAGAGAAGAAAATAAAAAAAGGAAATAATTATTGAGATCTGAGTTTCAAATGTGTTTCGATTATTATTATTATTTTTTTTTTGGTAGTTGAAGTTGTGATTCTAATGGAGATATGAGTGAAGCCAAAGTCAAAGAGTAGTATTGATGCTAAATACGAGTGGAAAACTAAAAAGAAAGAGATAAGAGGAGAACATTAGAGCAAGACAAGATGATACAGTACTAGTTAAAAGTAGTTTTGGATTGATAAAATGAATGAGAAGTTGAAAGTTAATAATGGATTGCAGGAAGAAGCATATTATTTTGGTGAGAGATCTGAATGCAGGAATTGAAAAAACAACAACCTTGAACAAGAATGCATTGTGGAGGAGAAAGAAAACGAGGATGACCATGGAAAGGATGGAGAAAATCACAATATCATGAATTAAATAGAAAAGGGGAATATCTATGGAATTTATGTAAATCTTGGGAATTGGTGGTGTTAAGTAGATAATGACATGGAATGGAAATTATATGGTAAGAAACAATGATAGATAAAGAAGAATACTGTGAAAAGTTTCGGCGAAGATTAACCTGGCTTAGAAAATAGCATTGGGAATGAAGAGTTAAACAATAAGAAGAAATAGATAGTTTGATCAAAAAAGTAAAGAGTAAAAAAAACGATAGTTCTAGAAGCAATTGAAATATAAAACCCAATGTACGAAAGAGTAAAAAAAAAGATGAATGAATAGAAAAAAATGGAAGTCATGTGGTTAATACATTTTATGAAGAAAAAATAGATAAACCCAAGACAATGAATTTTAGAAAGGACAAAAACAGCTATAAATTAAAAGTTGGAGTGTAAAGATCACTAGATAAAGGTTGAAAAAAGTATAAATATCTGAGATATTGGTTTAGAGTTTGTATTCAGCAATTAATATCTCGCCTTCATCAGCGCTCATCCTCTGATTACACAGGCCTGCGAATTTAAACTTCATAAAAGTTGTTTTAGTTTAAATGACGGATTTTCCATAATTCAGCTACGCATATTTCGAAAATAATATTCATTTAATATATTTAATTCAATATTCATATAAGGATTTTTTTACAAATCGGGAAGAAAAAACTCTTACTTAGATCAAATTATTATTTCATTTACCACAGTGAAAATTTTTGATTATTATGTTTGTTAACAAAATACAAACAAACTGAAGAAAAGGGAAGAACATTGATGTTAAACGAATATGCATCCTCATTCACTCTGATTTTTTAATGAAATCTACGTCTTTTAGTCTCAAACTACGTGTTATGGTCATTCTTTTATGTATTACGTTATGACGTTTTGTGAAAAATCTGTACGTTATGGAGAAAAATGAATATCATTTTCAGATTCAGCGTACAGGGATTACTGTAGAAGAAGTAAAAGTTTCAAGACAATAAATCCATCACAGACCTATGTTATTTGCTCTGACTAGTTCAAAGACGTGGGGTTACAATGTATTTTAAATTATTGTAACTGAATCGTCAACATCCTACTCATAGTTTTGTGAGTTTAATTCTTTTATGATTTTCTGTCATTTTCTTTAACTTCCTTTAGTTCTTGCTGTTGGAAATGCACTACGCTAAATACAGGAGCGTTTTTAAGTATATTCAGTTATTGTTATGTTGTGTAAGAAATTATCCAATCCATTTTTTTATAATTTTGTTAATTCTTAAAGGTTATAATATTTAAAATGATTTCTAATAATATTTGAAGTATTTGTTAAACCTATAACGACTGTTTTGTACTGTTAGCCTGTATAAGTATTTATGAATAATTAATCACACGAGTTTTGCGAGATACTATTAAGGTTATAGCCAAAAACATCGTTTCATTAACAGTAATGTATTCCACTAATGAGTCAATGCATTCTAATACACACAAGCTTTAGTTTTCTGGCATTTTGATTTACAACATTACGTACGTCGATACAGTTTTTTGTATTGAATTAGCTTTATCTGTTTATATATTATTGTTTTGGTTTGGTTGTAACTGACAGACTAATGAGAAGGCAGCTAGTGATCGACACCCACCATGAACGAGCTATTCTATAGCAAGATTTGACCATCACTCTTCTTGCACACCCACTAGCAGAGCTGAGTGCAATAATTGCTAGGCTATGCTCAGTTCGTTTTCATGAACCATTAATATACCCGAAATTAACAACATATTCAAATACTGACGAAATATATGCAATTTCAAATTTTAATAAACCATAATCCTAATCCCAAGAATATTTGTAACACTTGTATAAAAGAAAATTATTTGTTCAAAAGTAAACTTATAATTTTTTAAATGAGGAGAAATGACAGTTTATTTAGACGATACAAATAATTTCCCCAATGTTTCTAATTATGATACGCATTTCCGTTTTTTTTATCTTATGAATTAGATAGAACAGAGGCAATAAAATTACTTTAATTACAACATATTTGGTTTCTATTACTAAGGTTACATAGGGAATTCAAATGTAATTGCAATGCTTTGCTATAATAGGCGAAATAATGACACATTTATGTAGAAGCTAAATAGCATTAAACAACTTTTCACTTTGAATGGTTTTCACTGAAAAGTATTTAAAAACACTACGAGTCATATCACAGCATTTAGCTTCTTTAATTATCACTCATCTTTCAGGAGTAATTTTAGCTTAACAGCTCTCTACTAGAGTATAAACAAAAATATCATACTTACTACTCTCGGTAAATTGACTATGAAACTTACCAAAATACTAACCACGTTAGTTTGTTTGTTTGTTTGTTAATTATGCACAAAGCTACACAAGGGCTATCTGTGCTCTGCCCACCACGGGTATCGAAACCCGGTTTCTAGCGTTGTAAGTCCGCAGACATACCGCTGTGCCACTGGAGGGCAACCACGTTAGAGTAGAACACAAAATCTAAATTACTGTATTATAATAATTTAGTTATAAACATTTTGTGTGTTTCACGAATATTATAATAGATATGATTATTTATTTATCTTTTTATAGCAATACGTCAACCACGTGCTATCGTTTAATAGAGGGAAAAGAATTGAAAAATAAGAAAAAAATATACAAATAGATAAAAAAATGGTTTCGATATTTGTACTCCAAAACTAAGTTATAGCTTTATAATTTATAGTTTAGCTTTAATTATTGCATTCGCTAAAAAGAACAAATAATGTACCTGATCGTACGAAAATAACTATTTCTCAAGGTATGATAAAACAAACAAAGATAATGGTAATTATTTCGAGGCAGGCTATTGTAACATCAAGCAACGAAGTAACGGCTATTATAATTGTTTGTTTGTTTTTCAGATAATCATGCAAAGCTACTCAAGTGATATCTGCGCTTGACGTCTCTAATTTTGAACTGATAAGCTAGTGGGAAGGCAACCAGTATTATCATTTTCCTAGTGAGTATTTTAAAGCGTGTCCAAAACAAGCTGCTTTTCATATCTGATAAAATACATTTCACTATTGTGACTATTATAAATATGATATTTGTAGAATTCTAAATTTTATCTTTTTTTTACCATTCTGTAGAAGCAAAATTAAGGGCAAATTATAGTCAGAATAAATTAATACAGAATTAAATAAGTAAAATCACGTAACCTAATAATTTATATGCAATTGAAGACTACATTAAATATATTAAGCCTAGAAAATAGTAAATGGTTTCATATTTCCCAATAAATAGTCCATTTTGGAAGATTAGCCTATGTTCCAACTATCAGAATTCGATTATCAATGAGAGAATATGTTACACAAGAGTAATAACCAGTGTTAGTTAAATCTTCGTCCTATCTTTCTCCTTATGAGTTTTTTGGCCAGGCATGGCCAGGTGGTTAAGGCACTCGACTCACAATCTGAGGGTCGCGGGATCGAATCCCCGTTACACCAAACATGCTCGCCTTTTCAGCCGTGGGGGCGTTATAATGTGACGGTCAATCCCACTATGCGTTGGTAAAAGAGTAGCCCAAGAGTTGGCGGTGGGTGGTGATGACTAGCTGCCTTCCCTCTAGTCTTACACTGCTAAATTAGGGACGGCTAGCGCAGATAGCCCTCGTGTAGCTTTGCGCGAAATTCAAAAATAAACAAAAACAACCCCTTATGAGTTCCTTCTGTCGAAAATATCATAAGGGGTGAGTTATGATTATAAGAAACTATAAATTGGTAATTAATCGTGTTATGAGGTCCTCTTGAAACAATGCAATTTTTCTATGATGATTTAACTAACCTTTTGAGGAATAATCGGATGGTAATGCATGACAAGTGAAATACTTTCTGCATTTTTTCTATTTCATCGATTAAACGCATCGGATGAGGAAACGTAAGCAGCTTTCCTGGTGTTAATAGCCTTTGCTAACGACTTTCCTTCTACAAATAGGCAAACTTTATCATACCCTTTAAACAATTAAGCGACCTTTGCTCCTATCCATGATTATGTAGATTAACCACAATTATAACTACAGCATGACTTTCAAGGACTTAAGTAATTATCATCTGACGCATTACATAATCAGCACATTTTACATATAACGATAACTAGATATTATACAAGTACGTATATGTGTGTTTGTTTGTTGTGTTTATGGCAAAGTTACTAAGGTTATCCGACGCCATACCCGATTTTGAACTGCAACATAATTTTAAGACTTGTAACATAGTTATGCATATAGATATAATTTCAATAAATATGCAGGTGTTAATATGTCCATGTATACGTGTTATATATAAAGGATCAGAATATATACATACTATCTATTACAGACTTTGTGCATGTTTTATTAAAATGATTTTGGAGCTCCACCATATCGCTACAGTTCATGTCGCCACATTCAATAATGCTTTATCTGACGACCGTGCATAATGACAGTAGCACTGCAACGTAGTTTCAACTGCAAAAGATTCAAAATTGTCATGACTAAAGCACACTTCTCCTCCCAACGTGCTTTCCACAAGCCATCTAGTATACAAGGACGACGGTTTCCTAGCTCCCGTTTCAATAGTACGATTGATAAATGATCCGCCAATTTGACTGGCATATCTTTGTAAGCAATATCATGAATATCCGTTTCATTCTTCAGATGCTTGAGGTATGCTACGATTGAACAAATATGTCATGGAAGCAGCTTGTGTTCACGTGGCTTTTGTCGCTTCTTTTTTTTTTTAGACAGAAATTATTCTTCATTACGCTGCGTATACTGTTGCAATTGATCTTTGTATTCGTTAATTTTCACCTGTTACAAGACGCCACACTTGACTTACCACGGCGTGATTACGACGTGTTGCGTTTCTCTTTCTGGATAACTGTGCTACCCCAAGTTCCTCTATTTTTCCAATGTCATTAAATGCAAACAGTTTCCTCGTCTTGGAAATTATAAATCTCCTATTTGAACACATCTTTATAATCCAAATGTACGAATATTTTGCGTCATTAAGGACTAATAATGGTTGGAGACGGCTTGAATGGGCAATGAAGAAAAACTTTAATATAAGTTTAACATAACAGCAAATGTACAACGTTTCGACAAGGTTTTGTCATAATCATTAAGGACTGTTTCACACACTTCCCAAACTCGATCAATTTTGGGTGGCATCACACTACCTAGATCATGCCATTCCAAAGTATCTTTATATTGGCTCTGGTTACTTGCTAATTTGCATATTCAAAATCGTTTAATATAATGTAATAAATCCTCTATATGTGTGTTGAAGTCTAGAAAATATAAAAACTGTTTTCAATTGCATTACAGTTACGTTAAAATGCGTCGTATTGCCATAAAAAGGTTTTAAAAGGCTAAGTATTACTTTTCTTTATTGTAAGCCGTCTCAACTGAACCAGTAAGGATTCTCAGTCTTTTCTGTGCAGAGTCTGGTGTGAAAAAGAAGTTTCGTTTCAAATGCTAATTGGGATTAGCATTGTTCTCTGTAGTGGATACTTACAACCTTGGTGCTAATGGTTCGAATACACTGTGTGAAACGTTTTTGCACCGAATGACCTGGTTTTCTTTACCAATGTGCTTGGCTAGACACTACGTATACTATATTTCCTAAGTCTGAACTTATAACGATTAAAGATGTATATTACGCGAATGTTGTTGTCTGATATATTTCTTTTAATTCTATATTTCTCGTGCCTTTGAACTATTGATGATATTAACATGATATGATTATTATAATCTGACTTTCTGATTGCTTGACGACAGCTTGTTATGGAGGTTAGAACCAAATTATCTGTAGATAATGTATGAGGTATGTTTTCTATCATACCCTTGCGAAGTGAAGTGTTGAAATGTCTCAGAAACGTAGTTACTGTGATAATCATTATAAAATGTTTACGGCTTTTGATCTTCACCTTGATTTCAAAATTTTCCATAGTTTCAAATAGTCCTGTAATAACATCACGCTTTTTAGCTGGTGAGTTATGTAAATGTGAGTTATATAACAAAATACTTGGTGTCCTGTTTTGTGTAAACTGTATTAATAACTATGATGTGATTACTAATCTCACGAGTGATTGTGAATATGATAAAATGGTGTGAATTATTAAAATATTTTATAAAATGTTGAAACTTATAAGTCTAAGATTTTATATTACAAAATGTTCATCAACATCTAACCCATTGAAAAAGTTTTCCATTAGTTTAAAATTTCAACAGGGTAAGAGTTCATGTGTCGAAGCAGTGCTCAAACTCTGCAGCAATCAATAGCAATCTCTATGTTAGCCATACCAAAAACCAGAATTACTTATCATAGAATTTAATTGAACTTAAAATTAGTAATACAAAAAAATAATAGCAAAATTCTAAATAGCTGTGGTGGTAATTTTGCTCATGATAAAAGGCCTTTTATTAGATTTATAAGATTCTTTTATGCATTTAATCTCTCTGCTATGGAGATTGATAAATACATAGCAAAGACGTCAAGGATCAACAAAATAAAGTACCGGCTAACATGGGACTGTGGTGTTATTTTCGTATTAAAAACGTTCTTTATATAAAGTATGTCGAGATGCTATAATAATAAGGTATATTTATTTCTTTGTTTGTTATTAAGCACAAAGCTATACAATTGGCTATCTTTAGTTTCCCCAACGCAAGTATTGAAACCCACATTTTAGTGTTATAAGTCCTCAGACTTGCCACTGATACACGGCCAATGGGAAATTATAGATTAAAAGTATAGGCTTTATACCTTCACCTTTCTTGTTCGTTTATTCCAGTTTAATATCGTTCGAAACGTTATATATCAGGTGAGTAGATATTCTATTTTAGTTTTAATTGAATCATAAAGATTTGGGGGGGGGGCTCATTTTGAAATATGCATAATTAGCTAAAAATTTAGTTATTTACTAATATTACATACTTGTGTTTTTTTCATCATAAAAAATTACATTTGTCATGATTATTTTACCACAATTTCAGTCTCATTTCTAACGACGTTTTTATTTTCTATTTCGATTGCTACTGTTCACAATATGTTTAGCCAACTTACGCGTTCTTCAGTATAGAATAGCTGAGTTCTTAAGCAAACTTAGATTACACTTTTTACATATCTCAAATTCGCTGATTTTCTTCTGAGTAAACGGGTAGGATCCGCAAAAACAGGAGATTCGTCGGATACTATATCTCGGAGTAAAGATCTGGATTTCCATAACTTTGATCCGAGTCTAACTCATAGAAAAAACTGTAGAAAGCTCATAAAAAGCTTTTTTTCTTTTAGAACAAATAAAAGTGAGTCAAGTGCAGGTAAATGTTATGGGTGTTCTGAAAAACTAGAAACGAGCGAGAAAATCTTTGTTGGTTCTCTTTCACCAATTTAGTGTGAACCCATTTCAAATAAAAAGAAAATAAAGCTAGAATAACAGTCAAAGTAAAACAAAGGCAAGAATGAAAACAAATGCCCGTTTAACAATCTCAAACACCTCTAAGTTATCTTAAGAACCTGAACCATTAATGTATGAATATTTAAGCAATTAACGAAAAGTCAAAGTGTTTTAAATCAGCATTATAAATTAATAATAATACGATGCTTATCGAGTAATACTTACAAACTTCACAGTATTATCACCCTACTACAACTTTCAGACTAAAGAATCGAATAGATAAATTTCCTTTACAAAACCATGTATAATACTAGCTAAAACCATTGAATGAATTTTGTTTTAAACAATTTTCAAAGACAACTAGTATTACAAAGAAATCCTTTCACTTCGTTAATACATTAGAAAGTAAAAGAAATAAATCAAACAAAAAATTAATAATTATTAATTAGTATAATGTTGTAGAATATTGTCAAAATGGCTAAACAACTTTTACTTTTTAATTTTATGATTGAACGTAAAGTTTTTAACACAACTGTCGATTCCAACAGTATTAGATTAAAGTCAGCCCAAGAAATCTAATTTAATTGATTTTATAAGTCGTGTTTTAACAAGTTCTGTGTGTAAAAACATGAAGAAAACAACATGATGCACTTGAATCTCCTTGTGTTGTTCAGATTATGCAAGCTTCTGGAAGGGGTGTGATGATGTGGGAAACGCCACAGTGTCAAAAGCTAGATTCTTAAATTATTTTAGCAGTGTGAATGTCATCCTTATCCTCGTTACAAATAATTTACCGCGATCGTCTTGTCATGAATTGGTTCAAGGATATACCAGTGATTTCAGTCACCTTCCTTGCCTGATACAGTTACACGATCTCATTCAGATTCAGCATAAATGTAACTGAAGGTCGCACTCGTTACCGTAAAGCCCTACCTACATTTGTGAGCCGATTACACACAATATTCTTCGACAAATTGACCATAATATAACATGATAAATACATTAACAGTAGCCACGTCTGACTAGTATCAGAGCAATAGGTTTTCTGATTTGATAACATGTGGAAGCTCTAATAAATTTCCGTGAGTGCTGTAGGTTTATCAGCTTTCTAGTGTCAAAATTAACATGTTACTAAAGAACTATGAAACATATTTGAAAATTATAATGCTAGAAATGTGCAGCATTCAAAATCTTCCAATGAAAAAGTAAAAAGAGTTTCGAGAAAACTAAAGACAATTTCACATTTCCGATTTTACACCTCAATTGGAAGTTCAGTATTTTTATCATAAGCATCACTTTATTTTTCGTTGTTTTAGTACCATAAAATAAATTTACATAAATATGATATTGTACAAATCCACACATTTACTGAGTCACAACATTTTCTTCTGTTATAACAGCAACAGAACAAATTATTTAAAAAAAACAGAAAAGTATTTCACAGTGCTTTGCTTATGCCTTTTTTTCTATAGGTGTTTCAGGACACAATTATAATAGTCAGTTTTATGAACATAAATACATCCTATACAATCACAGTGAATGCCTTCTGCAGTTAAAAGTACGATAATTTTATCAACACCGTACTTTATGAGTCCGGTAAACGTTTTGTATCACGGTTTGAGATGTATTATGAGAGCTGTCACTTTTATGATATGTTTTTGTGCCGCATTGCCTAATAGCTAGTAGTATAAAGTCGTAACTAAAAGTTTGTGAGTTCGAGGTTTGCTAGGATAATTTTGTTAACTTCTTGAGCAATACAATTTATCCCAATTGTTTCAGCCTACCCAGCTTTATAATGAGTACCAGCGGGTAGCTGGGGTTGATCTGCGATGGGCTTACATTCTATTGAGGAGGAACATGTCATTATTCTCATCTGCCTGCTGAGATAGGAAACCGAAGTTAATAACCAACATACAAGGATTAACTTACTTACTTTTATGGTTTACGTTACAATGAACACAGTCCCAAGTTCAAGATAACTCAATAACTGCACGTACTTATAAAAGATTCTTCACTTTTATTTTTGTTAACCATTTTATATGCACCCTCTATTATGAATGAATTATTATTAACAGGTTTCCCAACATTATTATATCGTCATATGTTTGATGATCGATTGATAAACAGTACAGCTAATATCTTGGATCAGAATTTCATTACTTCACAGATTAGATAAGAAGACCGGATGAGAACATAAATGTCTTGCAAGTTGATTCACTTTAATCGCCTGTCATGAAACGTATATGAGCAAAGAGTGACATATTATCACCGACAAATATAAAAGAGCACTCCAAATAAGTACAAAAGTATACGGTAATGGTGCTATGAAGAGGGCAATCGAGATTATAAGTACACATACTCTAGACGGACATATTAAGCAAACACATATTGTTTATAGACTACGAAATGAAAAAGAATACGTTGATACGACATCGAACTATACTTATCAAGTTCATATTTGAGTTTGATTAAAATAGTCCAGTTCATATGACAACTAGTTGAAGAATAACAGAAAGGCAACGTATTAGTAAATACACTTATTTTATAGCAAGAACAAACATACTATTAAAAACATCATGTCATTGTACAGCCATACTATATATTTCCCAAAATTATTGTTTTTTGGTTCCTTTCTCTTTACAATTCTAAAATTAAAAACGAATAAAATTGCTATGAAGTAATGTATTTTATATTTAAAACTATGTATAGATTATTTTATGAGTATTTATATTATATCTCTGTCTTTCTCTTTAGCCATGATAAACTTACTTTTCTTACCTTATTCACTTGCTGCATCCCTGTATATAGCTATACTGTTTTTATGGACTCTTGAACGACTTTAAAAACATGGACAGACCTTTTCTAAGGGTTTTTGCCAAAGCAGGTTTCTTGATTTCAAATGTTTAATTAATTGTGAAAAGTGTGGTATGAATAATAATAAAATACTTAATTGATGCAGAATTGAAGGTTAATGTAATGTATGTAAGTTTATCGTTCATTCCAGCCAAAGGATAGCAGGCCACTAAGAGGTTACGCCCGCTCTTCAGCCCTGAGGTGAGACTAGAAAAGTAATGAAAAATTAATGATGGATGAATAAGGAGTTTAAGGGCATTTGACATATACTATAGCGGTGGAGTGTATGGTGTTTTAATATGTATTTTACTCACACAGTGATCCTATATTTATATAGGAATATCAAGGACATGCAGCATTGATGCTACTAATTTGATCTTGTGAATTACTAAAAGAAGCGAAAATCTGTTTAATATACTAAAAAATATATGTGAAGCACAGTCTATTTTTCGGTTTACAAGTTGTCGCTGTGTATTTTATACACCATACGTATAATATACACTCTACCCATTATATGAAGCCTAGTCTTATTTTTCCGATTCTCCCTTAATGAGGGGTGGAATTTCCCGAAACAGATATAAATTAGCGACAAATGGCAAATTGAATAATAGAATGTGGCTTAACGTTTGTTCCTTGAATAAAATACGTTCTTTGTTCTATAGTGTGAAAGCAAATCATTCTGATAACAATATGTTTGTTTGTTTAAGCACTAAGCTACACAATGGGCTATTTATGTCAAGCCCATCACGAATTTTAACGTTATAAGTCCGGAGACGTATCGTTGAACCACTGGAAGGGGAGGGGGAGTCTGATAACAAACGACAAAAACTATTAATTATCAGTAACGATAAAAACATTAGTGATAATCGTAATCCACAAACTACCGTGCTGTTAAATTCCTGTCAAGACATTTTATAGTCATCCTAGAGTTTCTTGTATAACAAAAAGGCAGTTTGTTTTCATTCCTGGGTGTTTTGTATAACGAAAAAAAAAGATCAGTTTGATTCCTGCTACTGCGGGATTTTGGATAAAAAAGAATGTCAATTTGATTTGTGTTATTCATATTGGGTGTTTGTTTTTTGTTTATAAACAAAGAATGTAAGTTTGATCCTTTTTGCTGCATGGTACATTCATACATTAGTGTGAGAGCGCATCAGAATATTATAATTTTATTAATTTTTTCAAGTACATAATAGCTTCATTGCTGCCTGTCTTGTTTAAAGAAGTTATGTTATTTTGATACCTTATATAGAATTTTAATTTCATTTATGAAAATTGTTACTTTAAGGTTAATTTGAAAACAAAGTGTTTCGTATATATATATGAGTAATAAGAATGATCTATTAAGAAACATGTTGGTCTACAATATACACAACAAAGATTATTACAGATAAATTGCAGAACGTACTATAACTGTGACATTACATTACTGACAAATCGGAAAAATGTCCTAATGTAACACTATGAAAAAAATTAAACTATAATCCGAATTTGTAATATTACAGCTACAACAAGGCAAGAGGGGGAATACTCTTTTGATAATACCTTTCCTCCAAGACCACATTTAATCTTCCCAATATATTACTGTATCATAACTAAATTATTACCAGTTGCTTTTCAAAAACTAAACTGTCACCAGTTGCTTTACAAATAACTAAACTGTTAACAGTTGCTTTTCAAAATTACATAAACCAAGAACATGCTATTATAAATCATTTCACTGATACAAACTGTATTCAATGTGTACTGTTGTTGAAAAAGGTTAGAATGGATGGAATTGTGCTTTATTTATTTATGAGTAGTATAGATAGAAATCTGTAACGATTTTGTTCGGAATTAAATAACAAAATAACCGACAGTTATAATGTTGTATTTATATCTGTATGTATCTATTTTTAAACCAAAAATAGTTGTAGATCAGCAAATAGAATTTAAAAAGCGAAATTATGTTGAATACAGTATAATATAGATATTTACTCGTTCATGCTTACTATATATATATATATATATATATATGTGTTGGTAAGATCTAATGAAAGAGAAACTATTATATTTAACATATTTGTGAAATTTTAATTTCTTCCACTACAATTTGAAGGTTATTATATCGACATGGCGTCAATATAGTTAGTCTACAAGGATAGCTTTCCTTCTAGTGTATTCCATACACATACACACACAAAATATGGATTCCTATAGCAGCAGTATCAATTTCAATTCAATTTCTACAATAAGGAAATATAATGCATCGGCTTACCTAATACAAGATGCCTTTACAGGACTACACATACGTAGTATCGTATATGTAGATAAGAAGATTAAAACAAGATTAAATTGTAGAACAAAAAAAAATACAACACTTCCTGTCAGAAACGCGTCTGTTGAAACAATGCAAACAATGGAATTTTTGTTGTTTTAGCGTGTGTTTCATGCTATGTGCAATAAGACTGACAAAACAAAGCAAAGCTCCATTGAAAATTTCTCAAAAAACAGCCACATATTTCTGCAGTCAATAGCAACGCTCGAATACCCAACGTGCAAAATATCTGTAAACTGAAAACCAAACAAATTTATGAAAGTTAATCACAATTATTTTTTTATCCAAATGCTAGTACCTGATATTATTAAATTTAAAAGGCATTGAAATTATATGCTAATTTAATAAAGCACCAGGTTTTTTTCCCACTACTATATTATCGATTACTATGTGATTACTGAGGACGAGACTGTAGACTGATTCTCCTATCAGAAACGCCAAGCGGGGAAGAGCAGTCAAACACTGAGATATTAGGTAGAGATGCAAGCTCCGGTACAGAACCAAACACGTGGAATCTAACTACCAGAAGAGACAGTAATAGCATAAAACTATAAAGAAGAATAATATATTTTCCGATTTCAGCTACCAGAGCTTGAACAAAATCAAGATGGTTCTACTTAAATCTTGCTGCTTTTGGAAATCTTTGAAAAAAGGATGTATTGCCAGTGGAAGCTACACTCTGGTAGGCTACAACAGTTGTCGTTTTTAAGTGAGAGAATTTGACAGTGTCTCACATTTCTTTTTTATGTTTGTTTCATACAACGAAGAAAATAACTTATTAACTTCATAGATATTTAAATTAATTAACAAACAAGGTACTTTACTAAAACACTTTAATTTTTCTAATAAATATTTTTGAATGTTTAATACTTGGAACACTGTTAATTTTGTTATCCAACTGAAATTTTGAGAAGTTGTTCTCTGGAAACTGTGCATAATTAAGTCTAAAATTGACATAACTTTTCTGTCTGCGAGCTATAAGGTTCATTTTTTTTTCGTTAGTAGTGTGATAAGCAATAAATATAAAATACTATTTCTAAAATAATTGTTTTTACTAATGTTTCAATAGTTTAGGTACATCTGAACATTATTATACGTAGAACAATGTATGTCATAAAATCTATGATACAATTCTTACATAGATTTAATATTGTTACTTCTAGAAACTAAAGTACTGTGTCGCTCAATGTGTTATTTTATGAATCTGGATCAAAATAACTCTGTTATTGAGAACTTTTATGAATCATTTATGATTTCATAAAAGAAAAAACAATATCAGCTATACAATTAAACAAATATTCTATAAAATAAAATACTCGATAGTTAAATTAACGCACTTGTTTTCTTATGTCGGGAAACCAAAAGAAATGAAAGACATTCAACATAATGACTAAATGGTCATTATGCAACAACAATCCACGAAGATATTATGTTACTCTTGTTTGTTTGTTTTTTACATGCAAAGTTATACAATGGGTTATATACAATGTACCCACTGCAAGAACTGAGCCCCGATTTTCTTAGTATGTTAAGCCTTCAAGTTTAACGATGAGTAAGTTACTCTTGACGATGTTTATGAATCCGTGTAATGTATTTAAAATTTTAGAATCACCAAATGAGCACATTACTAATAATTTTTCAACACAAATATAGAACAAGAGCCTTTATAATATTAATTTATTGAAATTTCACCACTTCATATACGATTCTGAAATAAAACATGCTTTTTTCTATATTTGGTTTTATCCAACTGACGATGTTGTACATGATCATGCCTGTTTCCAAAAAAATAAACAAAACGTAAATGTGTTCTAACAATAGACATAACATAAATGATTTTTTTTCTGTTATTAACTTACTATAGATGTTTAAATAGTCTTTTTTTTCTTTTTTGTGCTGCATCAAAAGTCATAATTACAAATTACGTATTTATTTTCAATATATTTAAGCTACAATGAGATTGGAATTAACAATTAATAAAACATATTAAATAATATACTTTCTTCTCTAATTTTACGTTTTATAATATACAGATATTCAATGTATATGTTTTTGTGATTGAAATTTGCAAATTCGCATCAGAGAAATGACTAATTATTCATGCGCGTTCAAATGAACCTGATTTATGCATTGTTTATGAATATGTACTTAGTAAGAAGTAAGTTTCACTACGTTTCTATGAGACTGCACGCCTATGCAATTAATTTCACAGCTTGATTTTATATTAGTACTGATGTAATCGCGTCTTATAAGACAAATAATTAAGTCCTGTACTACCTTTGGAACTATTTAGTCCATCGTAGTGGTATCAGGAAAACGTGCAGGTTCAAAACGTAATTAAAGGCAAAAATAAAAAAAAAAACACTGTAAATTCAAGTGCTTTCGAAAGATAGACTTTTCTTCATCAGGGGTAACTGGTGAAAGAGGATGAAGAAAAAATCTACCTCTCCAAAGCGCTCAAGTTATAGGGTTTCTTATTTTTGTCCTCCATTGTTAATCATTGTTACATCAAATAACTGTATAATTATGCATTAGTTACGCTTTATTGTTGAGCATCCAAAGCTCCTTTCTTCGAAACCCGAGGGTGACCACAAGTAAGTTATTTGTTAATATAATTTCCCTACCTCATTTTCTTAATCCATGTTTGTTTTTCAAAATCTGTCATTTTCAACATTATGAACTCTGTGAAAATCAAGAAGTCAAACACTTTGAACAGTTGCGATAAGGAAGGAGAGTGTATTGTTAAGTAATTAAAACGTATTCATCAATTCTGGATGTGTGTAGCAATAACTCACTATATTTTATATTGCACACCTAATTTAATAAATCATTGGTTCTTGAGCTGGTTAAGCTTACTTAAGGTCCACCCTGTATTATGTCTTTTGGCTCCAGCATATAATAATCTTTGTGTATGAATACTGATATATGTTCCTTCATCCATAAGACTATATGTGACAGGGTCGAATGGTGGGGAATTTGTTGTAATCCAAATAATTCTAAACATGTCGCTCGCAGTTGCGACGAACAGTACTACTACTACTGTACATCTATTTAGCACCATCGATCTCTCAACTTGTCTCTTTATATATAAGCGTTAATATATACTCACCACACCAATATTTTTATTACTGAACATGTTTAATGGGACGCGAGTTGGCTTCGCGTTAGAGCTCTAGATTTCGGAGATGACGAACCCGGTTCCAATCCGTGCGATATCCCAAAATATTCCCCACACTTTAAGTTGGGTGTGCATTTAAATAGCGACAATTAATCCCTTACGTCGATGATGGGTGATGGGGTGCAGCTGACTGCTGCCCTTTCCTTTGATTAGTAGTTCAGAATAAGGGTTGGCGGTAGATAGCTTTAGTATTTTTGCAATAAATACAAATTCCTATTTAAGGAAAAGAAATATGTAAAGAAGCGCAAAATATAAGTTTCTGCTAATGTAGATTCCTGCTTCTTTCGGCATATATTTAACACATTAGTGGAAGTATATCTAAAGAAAGTCCGTCAATTAAAGCTTTGTTAGGCTAATCAGCACAGCGATCACAGAGACAAGTATTATGCTTTCAACACAGCTACATACAACATCGGAATCGATTAGTCAAAATAACTTCAACGATCACTAATAAACCCGATTCTCTATTGCAATGTCTCTTGTAGTTATCCGTTAAACGCTAGCGCTTTGAAATGTGCTAACCAGACTGTATGTTCATAAAAGGTTTCTAGGAAAACTGGTTGTAGGGCCATCAAGCGACATATTTGCGGTAGAGAGAGAAAGACAGCCGGCTTCAAAGTCACAAACCTCACGGATGACAGGCGCATTCTCAAAAGGCAAAATTAAGTGCGATCGAAGGATTCGCTAGTCTTTGATTTTATTTCTGTTACTTCATATCCTCTAGACGCAAAATTAAACTTATATTATGTACATTAACATGGTAATTTGACTCAAATAAGTTTTGTAGATTTTCCTCAAAATAAAATAAAAATAGTGTTAGTTTGTTTGTAATTAAGCACAAAGCTACACAATGGGCTATCTGTGCTCTGCCCACCACGGGTATCGAAACACGGTTTCTAGCGTTGTAAGTCCGCAGACATACCACTGTGCCACTAGGGGGGCATATAAAAATAATGAAGTGAACTGTGTTTTCTGTGTATGAAACTGTTTTTCCCTGCAAATAAAGACTAAATGCTTTCTGTTTATTAAATATTTCATTCGTATGAAAATGATAAAAGGTGGAGAGAAAAGTTTTAATAAAATAGACTTACCTTCAGAACGACTTTCCAAAAAACGAGTTCAACCGCAGTTATCACACCTAGTTTATCAGTCCACAATTACCTTAGTAGCATCAAGTGAGCTCAGTAGATTTTGTTTTGGCACACATAATTTAAATAAAATTAATAGAACATCTTGGAGAACAATTCTTTATAAGTTTGGAATATTGGTGTTTCATAAAATACACAGAATAATTTTGTTAGAAGGAAAGTGTTAATTACTTAGAGTGGACCCACTGACAAATTATATAACTTCCTCTATCTGCTGATAATGACTTAAATGCTCTACCACTTCGGTTACCCGTAGTGGAATTAAATGTAATGCATAAGTTAACTATTCTAAATGTAAACAATAACGTTAATCAACGAAGTTGTCCATTAATAACTTACTCGGTCGGACAAGTTCTAGTGATGATCGTGTCTAAACTGTGAATCCGATAATTCATATTTTGATTTTCGCTGCCAAAAAACAACAACACTTCCTACACTTTTGGCTACGGGTCTGTTATAAGAATGATGGCCAAGTCCCACAATTAAGGCAAACAAGAGTAGTCCAAGTTTTTGAAATGGGTGCTGTTGACAAGCTGTCTTCCCTCTAGTCATAATATCAGTTCAAAATTAAGAACTGTTATGCACAGACAGTTAGTGATTAATTTTTGTTTACAAAAACTTAAAGAAAGGAAAGTGAGTCTGGGAACAACGCGATACACATAATATTAGTAGTAAATAAAATACAATTGTTTGGAAATCATCAGTCATAAAGAAAAAAGGAGACTTAGTTTAGTTTTGACAACGAAACAGTTTGTTCAACTGCATAGTGATAAAATATTATGTTATGTAAATATTGTAGAGTAAACCCTGTTGCATTAATTAGTGATGGAAATAAGCTTAGATATAGCAATATATTTCACGGGGATGGGTGGGTAAGAACTGCGTAATCTTACTATAGCGTAAATATTCGGCTTCCGCGCACTTTATTTTCAGCTCTACTTAAAATGGGCGAAACATAACTTGGGAATAGCGTTCCGGATTGTGAATCAGAGGAAATGCGCTCCGTACTTTAGGATAATAGGTGTGTCAAAAGAGTGATGGTGAGTTAAGAGTAGCCTAAGCATTGGCAGTGGTGCAGTTAACTAACTCTCTACCTTCTAATCAAAATTAAGAATGACAGGTAGCCCTCTGTGTAGCTTTCCACAAAATTCTGATATAAACCAGCTACTCGCTATTGTATCGTTTTCAATTAAAATTGCAATGTTACACTCCGCCTGTACATGTTGAGCTACATTAGATGTAGTTTCATGTGTTGTTAGTGTGTGTTTCTTTATTCTTGGGGATATCAACCTAGATTGATATATTCCTTTGTGCAACAATGACGTTTTTAAATCTAAAGAAATATTTTACTCTAAAACTGATTTGAAGATCAAGACACACGGTATTGTGTCGTGCGGCCAAAACAACCTGTGGGACACACTGTATGCTATTAACAGGAGTGATAGTTTAGTATTTTTCCATTTTCTGTAGCTCGGACTGTGGTAATCGAAACTATCACATACTTTAATGGATATGAGATACTGGATCCGTATTTCAAATACCAAAATTTAAGTTAATACATTAAGAAATACACGAGATATTCAATCTCCAATTTTGATTGAATATCTTCCTATTTTTTTACTTGTTCTCACAATAAGTACGGAAACTTTATTTGATAGAAAAACATACTTAACTTATACGGATTTTTTTTTCAAATTTGCTTCACTGATAGATCTTTACAACCTACAATTAGTTATCAAATTCGGTTTAAACATAAGCTACATGTGCAAAGTTACTCAACAAAAACCGCTCCAATTTAACCAAAGTTTTGGACTTGCCTACACAAAAAGTCACTTGAGCTATCAGTCTGAAATGTTTACTACAGCTTCATCTAAGAGGAAAAGTGGGCCGTTTTCAGTTTTTTGTCATTCGAGTTAAAGACGGCTGATTTAGGGCAGCAAAACTGTAAGGTGGAAGCACGTGCAGAAACAAACAATCAAGCGGAGAAAACGTGGACTCTTGAAGTAATACAAATGTGTTAAGTAACATATTTTTATATCATAAATAAAAATATACTTTATCGGTAAGAATCTGGATACGTTTTGTACATAGGAAAAGAAACATTTGTAATAATCTGATACATCGCAGTGTCACATTGCTTATAAAAACAGGTCCCAACTAAGTGCATTAACGTTTTAATGATCAAGTAAAATGATCAAGACCAGTCCGCTACATAAACAATTTCTTAAGAACAATGAAAATAGTGCACGTAATGCGTCACATCACGTGCGTAGAATATATTGTGGGTTTTGTTCAATATGCTGCTCAACCCGCTCTGCACTTTCGGCTGTGGGTCTTTATAAATGTGACAGTTAAACCCGCTATTCGGTAAAGAATACCACAAAGGTTGTTGATGCTGCTGACTGTTTAACCTCCTTCAGGTAAGAAGTCCTAATTCAGGAATCTCTGACATGGCGTTTAGCTTACATATTCGAATAAAGATTACAGATAGCCCATTGTGTAGCTTTACGCTTAACAATGAACAAAAAACGTTCAGCCCTGATTAGAGTAATTCTAAATGAAAAATTGTTTAATTAATTAAACAATGTAAGAAATTAGATTAATTTATTAACTGTATTTCAGGTCCAAAATGAAACAGTGTGCCGATTTAGTGCTAGTTATTGGTAGGAAAATATTTTAGTATTGATAAATCTCTGGGTGACTTCAAATAATTCACTTTGACTAAAAATATATCTCCATGTTTCTAAAGAATTTGATAAAATAGCAGAGTTTATTATGGAAATTATTTCCTCTCGTTTTAAATCCTAGATGCGAATTGACCCTAGGATAGAGCTCTGGATTTCGGAGTTGAAAAGCCGGGTTCGAATCTTATCACGTAATGCCACAAGACATGTCATATGTTCTAAATATTAGTCGAACTTTACAAAACAATAACTCTTTTCACATTTCATTTTGTTTCTTTAACAGTTTGAATCTTCTTAAAAATGCCTATTTCTATTTTGAAAACATCTAGTTTATGCAACATAAATATGATTCGCGTAAATTCAAATAGTTTTAAAATGAATTATTCGTTGATGAACATCACGTATGTGCACATTATCTCGAAATAATTTCTTACATACAGTATATATATATATATATATTTGAAAATTTGGCAGACAGCTTCAGTCTTTCGCTTTTAATCAAAAGAAATCAAACACGTTTTCTTTCATGAACAAGTAGCTACATAAATTAAATCATAGACACCTAGGGCATTCAATCCTGATGCTGCTTTTTTTTTTCGTACTAATGTAATTTAAAGTTGAAAATACAAAGAAAGGATGAACTCAATAGTTATGTAAAGATATGTGAAATACAATTCTTTAAAATTTTAACTTTTTATCTTTTTTTTCAGATTTTTTACACCATAGTTCTGATTGCTAGTGTCTTCAATTTGGATGCAGTGATTGAAGTTCCAGGTACATTATTTCTTCAAATCCGAAAACAATCCACAAAAAATGCACATACCTATAAGCGAAACATGAAATAAAATACTTTATCAAAAATTGAAATCTGTACTTTGTTTCATAGTTTTTATTCTTAGTTTCATTATGATAAATCGAAATCTGAGATTATTTTTTCAAATAAATTTAAAGTGTCTATAGCTCAAAACAGAGATGTAGTCAAAGCCGGATGGGCGAGATCAAGACCTGATCGAGATCAATATATTTTCTATGCGAAATAATCTATTTATAACCTTATAATCTAAATAACATTTCTGAATAAAAACAAGAACTAGAAAAATTATAATAAGTTTATTTTTTTTTGAATTATTGATTACAAATAACATATACTGATCTCGGTCTTGGTCTCGCCCACTCGGTTTTGATTACACCTCTGGCTAAAAGATGTAGTCCTAAGAAATCGGTGATTCAGTTGTTTCAAAAGAGAAAATATGGAAAATACTCCTTTATGAGATGGTTTAGAATACTCAAAAAATTAGTTTATTGTTTTCATATAGAATGTTTGTGTATTATTGCATATTTGGGTAGGTGTATCAGTATAATTTTTCAACAAAATGTCTCATAGTGAATTCTTGTTTAACAAGTATTAGGTTTTTTTACATTTAACTGTGCATATATTTTATAGGACTTTGAATATCCGTTGAAATTTGTTGTCGTTTCTCTGTTTGCTTATTTTTTATTACAAAATAGTGTTTTCTTTTACCCCACAGTTCTTCTTACGTTTTCCATTGTTATGGTAGTTTCATCTGGAATTTGCGTTCTATCCTGTATGCTTCTTTTCGTTGGTCTTTGTGTCGTAAGTATTATTTTGAAGTTAACCGATAAATATTATTTCATATTATAACGAAATGAAGACTGAGTCTATGACAAAGTTATTTTATTGTGTTTTCTTGATATTACTTTTTTGTTACTTGCGTAAGATAGCTACATATATAGTTAAAATTGTGATGTAATACTATAAGATATATGTATTAAAATTGATAACATGTTGTTACCTCATTGTCAATATCTTATTATTCGGAATTATATTTTATAATGTAGCACTGATATTTAATCAGAAAATAAAATATTATGTTATCGATATTTTTTATAACTTACTAGTTGAGTTATCCGACGTTGCACGGTGAAAATTTAGATTTCAAATGTATAGATCAGTATTTTTTTCAGCAAATTATTCAGTAAGTAGACAAAAGCTGTGATGCGAGAAATAAAAAATCATTTAATCAAACAAAGCTTTATTTGAAATTAGATCGTGTTTGAGCTTGGATGTACGACTTCAGGCTCAAAGAACAAGAGAGCAAGAAACAGAGGAGCAACATTCTGTAAGTTATTTGTCTTAATTTTTGTGCTTGAAGTCTGGTTTGACGTTGTTCAGAAGTTTCTAGTTGTCTATATTCAGCTTGCCTTGATGATTCTGACTGAACTCTGGCTTTGTGCTGTTCAACAGTTTCTTGCTGTCTTTGAGTAGCCTGCCTTTCAGCTTGAGCTCGAAATCTAACTTTACGTTGTTCCAAAATCTCTTCCTGTACTTGAGCAGCCTATCTTGCAGCTTGTGCTTGAAGTCTTTTATTGCGTTCTTCTTCTGTTTCAGCTGCTCTTTGTGCTTGCATTCTTTTAGTGGCAGAAGACTTTCCATAGAAAGGGCGTTTCTTGGGTGGCATAATCACCTGTATCACTAAACAATAATTTGCAATTCACAAAGTTACTAAATCACTTATGAAACCATTTAGCTCTAATTAAAGAAAACTGTTTTTGGAAATACTGAATTGACAGCAAGGTGATCTGAGTGTCTCCCGCCATAACGCTTTCCATGTGCAAAACGTACTTATGTGTGTATGTTTATTACAAAAAAAAAATGTAGCAATAATCATTAATTGTCAATTTCGTCATTAAATACTATATCAAGTACAAAATAAATAGCACCATTAAATATCTTGTAAAAAAAACTGGATATTACGAAGCTATTTAAAATAAA